CGCCCCGATGTCATCCTTCTTAGTGATAGACTTGTATCTGTTATAGCGAAATCACATCGAGATATATATAGACTAGTATGCTGGTTTGAATATTATATGTAGAGTTTAGATCTATTGTCGCCGAGTTTCCTATTGTTGTAGAAGCTTACGATGGTCTGGGCTGTTAATTGAAACACCGAGATCCGCCTTCGAGCTTTCTGCTGTCTAACTCCAATCTTGTAGTAAACTAGAAACATACTGACTGTAAGCTGAATAGATATAATACATCTGATATACGATGTCAAGTTTGACGTAAGTTTATGTCTGTAAATCTTGGAAACTCCTGTTAATCATTTAAAATATCACACTAGAATACATCTTATATTATCATCCTGGGTTTTAGAAAATCGAAAACCGCGTTTAATTTTTCGTTTAAAGTATATTTCCCACTGTATCACGATATATACCCAATAAATTAGGCGGTAGACTTTATTAAAAGAATTACCTCATCATTTCAGTGTAAAAGAAAAACCTCCGGCATCTCACACTATAGCGGACCACCCTTACTGACCTCCTAAATAAGCCCTACTAGAGAAGCAAGAACTACGATCTTAGAGACGCCTGTCTTTAAACAGCATGCTTCACCAAGGTAATATACTCAGTAATTTATCGACTTAAGTAAAATTTCTTCAAATTAGTTTTTAAGCTTTCTGAGTTTTTTTGTGTGTTGAATTGGTTTCAGGGGAACATGAAGTAGAAATAATTACGTTTTGAAGCAGGTGCAGAAGGCATCAGCCATCTTGAATAGTTCTAGATGTAGCCGACCAGAACACGCAAGTTACTTAACTGGAAAAACAATCCATGAAAAAGTGAGTTAAAAGATCCAATTACCCTATTACCTCTTCATTACGACCGTGTTGCTTGTTCCACTAATTATACAATGGGGAAAAGATTTTAACAGAGTCTTGGACGTTTTAATCAAGTTAAACTTGTGGCTAATCTCATTATGCCTGGAGAAACGTAATTCTTGTTGGTATTCAAGTTAATTAAATTTCTGTGAAACTTGGAAGGTGATAACATTGAATGGCACCATTGTTGTTCAGCTGACTGGTTGCGATTTCTTTTTCTTGGTTCGATTGACACTAGGATGGTTACAGTTTGAGTTTGGTGCTTGCTAGATTTCATTTTTAAACAGGGGATCTCGGTGTCGAGAGAGAGAGAGGGGGAGAGAGAGAGGGAGAGCGAGAGAGAGAGAGAGAGAGAGGATGTGGGCGGAGGGAGAGAGAGAGTGTTTAACATCCCCTCAGCTAGAAATGGTTCCACTACTGATGTCTTCCGTCTTGCTCCAGCCACAGCAGTGGACCGTCCTAAAGCCTTCCTTTGAGCAAGTTTTGTAGTCATTTGACCACAAAAACGTTACTGGCCTATAACTTCCTTAATTTCCAATAACACTGACCCCCAAACTGTACTGTACATAGCTTAACATATAATTAACTAATTCCCATTGAAATAAAGGTGAAATCTTACCGTATAATTATATACTCTTCAAAACAAAAGTAGGGGATATTGAAATGCAAATACCTATGCAGGTTGTGATATGATAAATAGTCATGGACACTTGACATGCTTTGAGAGTATGTTCACAGATGAAGAACTTATCGCCCCAACAGAAACACTGAGCTGGACATGCGACACGCAATAGCGTCGTACACGTGGGAGGGGTTCATTGTCAAATTTGACACTTCAAAGATGGATTGATGAAAACTGCCGTTTGGTGGTTTATCCTATCCATGTTTGCTTTCCTATCGGTTCTTGCATAAGATTTACTGTTTGTATCTTTGCTTTTAGTGTGTTACGGTTTAATTTGATCGGGTGACGTGTTCGTCGACGTCAACGTCAACCGACAACACTGCAAGAATTGGTCGTGACACTGCAAGAGGGGTGGGCCAGATTGCCCCAAATCGTGATTGGACGGTTGATTAGGAGCATGCCACGACGAATTACTGAATGTCTGAGGATTGGTGGAGCAATTACTCATTAAAATCAAAAACGTCCATTTTCACTTTTGACAGTGTATCTCTTTGCGAGTGAAATGGGGCCGTCAGATAAGCTGCCCATATGAACTGTTTATGTTCATGTGTAGGCAATTGGCCTGTTATTAACATACACTGGTTACCTCTAATAAAAACAGCAGTGCATTTCCGCAGTTTTGTATTGTTTCTGAATATCCCCTACTTTTTTTGAAGAGTATATAATTTGATTACACCCAACTGCTATGCGAAATTTCTGTTTAGTTTAAAATGGCCTCGAACCAGAATAACGGGGTGTCATGTCACTCGAAAATACAGAAAAACTGTTCGGTAAGATAAGATTATGATTTCAGTGCTCCGCTTTTCACTATTTGTAACATAATTACTTATTTCCATGCAAACTGTGATGATATGTGTTAAAAATTTTGCAATTTTACTTGCTCAAAGCCTCGAATAGTGTATCAATTGCAGCCGTAGATAAGATATGGGCCTGTCTTTATCTAAGAATCCGGCACCGGAGGCAATAGTTCTCAACACTGGCAGCCGCGTGCAATTCTTCCAACTTAGCGCTAATGACTTTGTCCATTATTCTGTAACTAAAATCAAGTAGGGTACCGAATAAAACTGTGTCTAAACCGGAAACACACCGGGGTCGAGCTAAAAAAGATGTTGATCAAGATACGGAGCTTATTCACTTGCTGGAAACATCTTGATAGTAGCCAGACTGGTGGGTTGCTTTAAATTCCGTTTTGAGTAAATAAAATTTAATTTAAAAGCTAGAATTGAGTATAGGATATATATATATACCATTAAAAGATTCCAGTCTCGCAATTAAAAGATTTATATTTTAAACAGATTCCAACCCACGTGAATTTCACATTAATTGATGATGGTAGACTGTTCTAAAACACGAAATGTTCTCCTGGGAAGATGTGTGAGCGATTCGTGTCTGGTTAACGCCATGTTCACAGTGCATAGGTATTTCGTTTTGTTTATTGGAGGTGGGCAATATATCAGAAAGCTTTAACATAGATCAGAATTTATTTTTAAAAAATCAAAGTTGGATCCGTAGCTCAGTCCGAATTGTTTGACTCTTTCCCTGTTGTCGTCGGCAAAAGTACAACGCATTCAGCGTTCCAAATATTTCCAGAGGTTATAAAAGCTTGTGCGAGGCTTTTGTTTCGGGTGTTGGGTGGTTGTGGAAGGATATTGTTTGTTTGTTGTGGACGATTATTGTTTGAGGGACGTGTCCGTTGAAGGATATTATTTCGGGTGGGTGTGTATGTGTGGGTGGGGGTGATTCCAGTAGATTAAAACCAACAGGAGTTTTATAATTATGATGGAGTCGGGTAAGTTATTAATATAAATTGGGAGACAGAGGGGGGGAGGGGTAACGTCCACTCGAAACAAACTAGGTCATTTCGGGACTAACACATTGTTGAATTTTTTATTTCAATAATTTGCTTGTACGTAGGGGTCTTTAGCAGTGGGAAGAAACCGGAGGACCCGGGGAAAACTGACGTGGTTGGACAGGCGACCCTACTCCTTGTCACATAAATTGGGATAGAGAATTCCAGATGTTCTTCCATTTAGCTGCAAAGAACATCAATGAGCATTCCGAAACAAAACAATCCATTATCTAGCAGCCCATACAACTGTGTAATTCAGGGCTGGATAAAGCTTGCATCGCGCCCTTGGCTGGAAATGTCACTAGGGTCTGGAAAGATAGGTGACAAGCGGCTCAGTCGTCCGCACAGTCAACAAGGGTTGTCATATATTTTTCTTTACAACACACTAAAACCTGATTACCAGAAACAACCCATTAAGTAATTGTCAGAAATCATTAAAATTTGTTTCATGACCTTAAACACTGTATAGATTTATATTAACTTTAACCTCTAGCACGCCCGACGGGCGGGCGGCAATATACGGCCACTTTTAATGTGGGCGTATAACAAGGGGGCATATTCTGACCAGTTGCTGTCACAGTCACACGAATGCAATTTGTATGTCAATATCAGGCGCGGATCCAGGGGTTCCCCCCCCCCCACCCTCAGCCCCAGTGAGACTGGTCATCAATGTTCAGACCAGCACCTGCAGCCAGCAATGGGATTCCCAGATTTTAGTTTCTGTTTAATGAGGCCGCGACGAAAACTCTGGGGACTACACCAAACCACTAATGCATGCGCCACTCTGATGATTACCCTTTGCTCCAATGTATGCCCCCCCCCCTCCTCGACAAAATCCTGGATCCGGGCCTGAGTATGGTAGACAGATATCTATTTATGATACAAACTGTTCTTAGTCCCCCCCTCCCCGTCCCACCGCGCCCACACACACCTTTTAATCTGGTCGTGGTGTTCCTATTGACACTTTACGTGATGTCAGACTCTTTTCTACTGGTTCTTGTGATGTCCATTCTCTTTGATTTCATTCTTTAATATAACCATCGACAATCACAGGAGAAATCACAGAAGCAAGGAACACTGGTGAGGAACAGAGACAAGGAACTCTGGAAAGAGACAAGGAACGGGGGCGGGGAATAGGGGAAATGGACGAGGAACAAGGAACAGGTGAAAGGTGAAAGTAACAAGGAACACTGGCGAGGAAGGGAACTCTGGAAAGAGACAGGGATCAGGGGACGAGGAACAGGGGGAAATGGACAAGGAACAATGGAACAGGGGAAAGTAACAAGGAACACTGGCGAGGAAGGGAACTCTGGAAAGAGACAGGGATCAGGGGACGAGGAACAGGGGGAAATGGACAAGGAACAATGGAACAGGGGAAAGTAACAAGGAACGCTGGAGAGGGACAAAAAAAGGGAACTCTGAAGAAGTAAAATGGAACAGGGGAAAAGGATACGGAAAAGTAACAGGGAAATAGATTACAAATGGGTACCTAAACCCAACCCAACCTGCTCTATTAATGAATCCTACTGCAACCCTTCAAGTACAACGAAACATGTTAAATATATAACAAAACAATACAGTATAATACTTATATATATACATTTTATTCATAGTGTACACAAGATTCACAGTCACCTCTTGTGGGAGTTTTTACAAAAACATATTTATCAGATACAGACGTTAGATTTTACAATATACAGAAATAATAGGATAGGTTTTATTTTTATTTTATACATATAGACAATTTAGATTCTCGCTCTCTCTCGTTATATAGGACGTGTTTGATTGGAGCTGAATTCGAATCATCCATCGTTGAAATCCCACCAAGCCCATGGGCAGTATTAACAAAAACTTAAATCCAGGTACAAATTTTGCTCTTGTCCAATGAATGACCTGTATTCTTAAAATATTTTAAGTTTTCGTTGATATGGCCCATGGAAATAAATTTCAGATCTTGGCAATCTGAAATCCAGACCAGTTTCTGATTCGTCCCTCCAAGAGGCTAAACTCTCAATGAACTCTCAAATTAAATAAAACCAAACTCCTTAAAAGGAAAGAAAGGTATATGGATTCGGAAATTGAAGGTCAATCAACCACGCCCTAAATATAATAAATATACCATTGATTAATAGTTTTATATACATCTATTAAATTTCATGTACACTTTTACATTTGTGATTTAGCCATCTGAACAGCAGAACTTCGTCTCTTAAACATCTATATATTGCACACATAGTTATTTTGATTGGTACTTTATTACATAAAGTATACTACCGGATACCACTATAAGAGCATAGATGCCATATCATATCCCTTAAAGTTAGGGCGAAGATGATGTGCTTCTTAATTTCCCCCTAATACACAGGTATCCATATCATGAGGGCCAAGGATAAGCTCTGCCCTTTTTCTGTATAATGAGAGTTCTGATATAGCATCCACCTCATAGGAAATGGTGTAACTCATATCTTGATATATATTATAAGCAAATCTGTGTTCTAAGAAGCAATGGAAGTAATTACACTAAGCAGAAAAGGTTCGATTCTTTATGGTTGTGATATGTCTACAAATATTTATTTTATGGTCCATAATATTACTAACAGGTAAAAATCTGATTTCAGGTGAGGTAATTTACATAGGTATGTTCTTCATCTGAAGTAAATTTCAAATGTTTATAGTTTAAGATGTTTTTCAATTTATTTTTGTCTAAGACTGATATGTATGATTAATATATGTGCCAGAGGAGGGGAATGACTTGAACATAATTACATGGACAGTTCATACAGCAGGTGGGTGCCATGGTTGTCTTACGGTCTCATACGTGGAATACACACCAACAAAGGTCAGTAGTCAAAATACCAACAGTGTCAAATTGACACAAGTCTTGAACTACAGAGCCATACAACAACCTTGCATAATGGATTATACAAGAACTGATGTAATCTACTTGTCAAGTCAATCCCCCTTCTATACAGGAAATAAAAGCACAACACTGAATATTAGCCCTGACTTGGAAGATACATTATGTAAGATTTAGATAAACGAGCCGACCGACGGTTCTTGCTATAATAGTCCCAAAATAGATAATTCAAAATAGCCTACTTTATTCTGAGCGATGTTATCAGTTTGAAGATGAGAGAGAGAGAGAGAGAAATGGGGTTTAACGTCCACTCGACACAAACTAGGTCATTTCGGGACTAACATATGGTTTTTAATTTTATTTACATAATTCGCTTGCGCGCAGGGGTCTTTAGCAGTGGGAGGAAACCGGAGGACCTGGAGAAAACCCACGAGGTTGGACAGGCGACCCTACTCCTTGTCACGTACAACCGGGGATTCGAAACCACGCCAGTCGACTCAATGATAGACTTTATGATACAGCGGGCGCATGCTAACCATTCAGCCATCCAACCCCCCAGTTTGAAGATGAGACATAGATTGTTTATTGTCGTAGCAACCTTACTGGCTAATCAAGACTCAACCTCGCTTCTCCATTTTTAAATTAAATCATTAAATGGTGATTGTATTTTAATCCTTTTACATCTGCGCCATCCGATGGGCTAGAGAGTTGATTATAGGCTTGTCATGTGAATAAATGTCTAACTAATAATTTATATAACATTTGAAGCCAAAATGAAAATCTGTTAACAAATGCTTAAATAATAGTTTATAGAACATTTGAAGCCAGAAAAAAGAAATGGAATCGGCAGATTTATCTCTTACATAATGCATCTTTAAACAATAGGCATACTGACGGGGATCACTTCAGAGCAAACGGACAATGAAGGGGGATGGGGGATGTCAGTAGAAATTTAAAAATTGTTTTGCAAAAAAATGCCATGTCAGTCAGTAATTCATTACTCTCTACCCCTTGCACAGAGCTTGCAGAGATATACCCAATTTTGAAAATGAAAGTAGAAACTGGTGAAAATGGGTATGCTGCATCTATATATATATATATATATATATATATTCGCCCCACCATGTCCCAGTCATGTATGCCTACATCAAACAATGAAACACCAGTACCAACTAACAATGACTATCTTCACATGTCCAGTATTTTTACATTCACAGAACAAGGCATTTTAATTATGCTTGAGCAATCTCGTAACAATCTTCACTAAATCTATCTGATTACAATACAGATCTATATTTCGTTTCGTTTTTTTATACTTTCGATGGCCTACACTACATGAAGATCCTACAAATTGTACTCAAAGGTCATGTCAGGGTTGTACAAGCGGCTTTTGACCCTATGACGTCGGACATTGATTAATCAATCAGCGTTGACTTTTATAATGGATTACCCAAAGTTCCAGGCATGGCAAGCCAAGCAGTCGCCGTAACAGACTGTTTCATTGGCTTATCCCTCACTTCAACCAAAATGCCGGTAATATAACAACTCTTCCAGATCATAGTGTAGTAAAGACAAGTAAAACTAAATAATGAACTATAAAAAACGAAACGAAATAGGATCTGTGTTTTAATCAGAATGTCACTAAATCGTATTAAAACTACAAAAACAAAAGTTGATATTTTATTTTATTAGTTTCTTTATTAACTGATGATCGAACTGACATATAGAACTTTATTGTTAAAGTTTTTGAAATGAAAACCTAGAGCACTTGTTTCAATACATTATGCCGGTCATGTCCAACTGCTGAATTGTCTGGTTGTACAAATGAACAGCTGAATGGTCTAAATCTGTCTTAATTTACTGATCATTTTTTTGTTTGGGGTTTCCTACCAAATGATCCAACCAAGACACCGTCTTCATCAGCCAAGTCGGTGCAGAGGACATTAATAGAAGACCCTATTACATTTCATTTCCAACCAAGAAATAAGGAAAATGTCCAACAAAACTAATTGAGAGAGAGAGAGAAATGGTCATTTCGGGACTAACACATGGTTCAATTTTATTTCCATAATTCACTTGCACGTAGGGGTCTTTAGCAGTGGGAGGAACCCAGAGAGCCCGGAGAAAACCCACGATGTTGGACAAGCGACCCTGCTCCTTGTCACGTACATCCGGGGCATCAAAACCACGCCAGTTGACTCAATGACAGACCTTATGATACAGCGCGCACGTGCTAACCATTCAGCCATCCACCCCCACCCCCTTCCGACAAAACAAATGGAGAAACTAGTGCTCTGCTTGAAATGAATCATGGATGTTTATTTAAAGATTTATTAAATTTATGTATAATAATAAAGTTATTCTAATGTATTTATTTATAATTAATTAGACAAGAACATTGTTTATTCTCCTCATCATTTTACTAGTTATATACAAAATTTACAAATTTAATATCTTTATCTTTATCCATCAAAAAAGAAAAAAACAAATTTACACAAAAGTTTGTGCACAACACCCAAACAGTGATATAAATCAAATAACACACAACTAACAAACGTTATAAATCTTTCACACTTCAGAGACCAGATATGGCAAGATTTTCGGGGAGTTTTTTTGGTTTTTTCAGGTGTATTTCCGAAATCCATACACTGTAGCTAATTTTTGTTGTACATTTGAATTGAAGAGACAAGATACCGCAAAAATTTTATGCAGTTTTTTTTGGGGGGGCGTTTTTTTTTCCGGGAGTTATTTGGCGTAAAATTCATATACCGATAGGTAATTGAAGAGACAAGATGCCGCAAAATTCTCATGGAGTTTTTTTTGCGTTTTTTGGGCGAAATTCATATAGCTAATATTTGTTGTGTTGTAGACAGTCGTAATTTAGAGATCTTCAGGTGCATATGGGTAAATATATTTCTTAATTAATTAGTTGAACTGAAATTTCTTTTGAAATATTAAATCGTAAAAAATTTCAGACCTCCATCTTGGATATTTTGTCTCTGATAATTTGTCATTCACACAACATTCGCAACTAAAACAACCAATCACACGCTAGTATTATCAGTCGTTAAACGTTTCATTAGTATTATATAATATTTTCTTCGCGATAAGTATGAAACATTTTATATGATAATAATATATATCTTATTATATATTTATATACATGTATACAGCAAAGGCAGAAAACACGATTTAAATAGAAAATAGCACATTTAGAGTGAATTTTTAGATTTCACTTAATTAAATATAATTTATTCACAGTTTATTAATATTATAAATATACAGTAACATATACAATACACATTAACATTATATACACAAGACATAGTTTGTGGTGAGAATCTTAATATCCAAATAAATGTGTGTGTAATTAATTATTATCAAACAGCTCAGAAAGAGAAAGAGAAATGGGGTTTAACATCCTCTTGACACAAACTAGGTCATATCGGGACTAACACATGGTTCAACTTTATTTCGATAATTTGCTTGTGGGAGGAAACCAGAGGACCCAGAGAAGACCTGTGAGGTTGGACATGTACAAGCAGGGAATCAAAACCGCGACACTTGACTCAATGACAGATCTTGTGATCAAACACGCACCAGATAACCATCCGGCCACCCAACAGTGCGGAACATGAAGTAAAAACTGGGAGTGAAAGTGTAACACACCAGGCCTACGTATGTCACTCCTTGGCTTGAGCTACCCATCCATATACAACAAATTTCAGCCTTGGGGCAGTCCACATGTAGCCACCAACGACAAACAGACCCCAGTTGCAACAATAAGTGATTAGACACACATTTATTTTAAGATTAGTGGGACACAATAGATATTTATGGTGAATCAACATTTTTAACAAATAAGGTGACGAGTGACATTTATTTGGTGCATTTAGAAAACGGTTTCAGTAAATGAGAAAGATTTTTGAAATTAGGTACGTTTTGTCAGACCATTCAGTAAACCAGTTACGGTATCTATGAAAACAGACATTATTTCTGTAGTCAAATTCAAAAATTTAAACAATTGTGAGGTGTAGCAGGCCTACTACTTAATGCAACCTGTTTAAACAGGTTGGTCTGTTTAGACAGGTTTCACTGTATAATGCATATCGCAAGCATTTAGATGTAGCACCAGTAGTGATTGCATCAAGACAGGTTGAATATACTGAGAATGCTAGACACTTTCACGGCCATATTGTTATTCTGAAATGTGTGAGTACTGCTACCCAGGAGTCACTTGGGCTGCATTTCACCTTGTGTTTAAAAGGAGGACACAATCATGAAAAGGGCTCGAAGTACTCAGAATCTGGAAATCTAAAGGGGAAATCTAATGGTTTATGGAAAACCCACGATTGCACAATTGTAACGTTTAAAGGGGAATTCTAACAGTTTATGGAGAACCTAGCATTGCACAATTGTAAAGCTTAAAGGGGAAATCGAACAGTTTATGGAGAATTGTAACACTTTAAAGGGGAAATCCAACTGTTTATGGATAATGTATGATTGCACAATTGAGAATGTATGATTGCACAATTGTAACACTTAAAGGGAATTCTAACGGTTTTTGAATATTGAAGATTTTAACTACATAAAGTGCATGAGATAAAGCTTTTTACTATGAATAAATCGGTTTTACAATTCTAAGGATTTTAATCCATGTGAGTTCTTATAATGAATGATTAATTAATATGGTGTTTTTTTTTTCAATTAATTTTGGTTACAAAAAAATAATCAACGAGAATTAATACTTCGTTATAAAGCATCTTTCATAAACACAACTTAAATCTACATATTATTAATTCATTAATTAAAACACATAATTATCGAAAAACCTGCAGCGGAATGCATTGTATCTGGATAAAATGAGACAAGATAACAGAGTCTACATTGAACAGTGACCCCCACATGTTAAGAGTTATTCCCTTTCAGAATAAAACATAACCATAACCAGCCTCATAAGATTCGACTTGAAACACCTGTTGATTTTCTGATGAAGAGGAATAATTCTGAGTGTCACCGTTGTCATGTGATCATCAGGGGTCAATCCTGGGTCACGGAATATTACCTTTTTATGTCAGGAAATATATAAATATCATCTTCACCATTTTATAACATCACAGATTCATGGAGCAATTTCATTGGTCTCTTATTACATATAAAGCACACTGATTGGTCAATAGCTATATACAATTTATCGTTAATCACAAAAGATGATGGGTCGAAGTTCATTGGCAAGTGGCGCAATTATTTACGTGGCACAGGATGTCTCCGAATTGGAAAGAAAAATTCAAATTTACTCCTCTTTCATCCAATGAAATTGTTTGTACTTAAATGACGGTATCCAGGGAACCAATCACCGATACTGTTTCAGGAGATCGAGCTGTATTTGTAATCCTCAGCAGCCTAAATTTGTGAGCATATTTTTTTTTTTGTCTCTTGATAATTAGTCTTCGTAAGGATAACAACACTCTATTCTTTACCGACAGAAACATGTCGTCTGGTAGTCGCTCTTCCACAGATGACATCTTCACTCGACGATTTACCAAAGACTTTCGTTCTAAACTCCTCCGCAAATTTCACACATCCTTCTTTATTCGGAACTAATACGTTATAATTTTACAGTCCGATGGTCTCTGGAATATACAACCTAAGTCACACACACACACACGAGCGCGCGCGCGCATCACTACCGACATAAAAATAACGCTAACGTTGCGGTTACTGTCACTAAAAGGAGACTATAAGAGAAGGCTACGCTACTACTGTCATTATCGCTGATAAGGCCTACATTTTTAGGTCCATTAGCATGAATAACATTTTCATCGATTAAATTATCTGATGGATGTTTATCTGAATCTGTTTTTGGATATACTGAAATAAAAAAATAATAATAATAAAAAATATAATAAATTTAAAAAAAATAAACACAACAATTCTATGGCAAGCAATTATTGTATCTTAATTGGAGCTATGTTTCTATAATGATTCTCTTGTATTCAATCATGTTCGTTCCGTTGTGTTCAGTTATTAAAAGCTGTTTAAACAGTACATAATAACTTCCAATCATTCTTTTATTATAGGCTATAGGGTTTTTATTATTTCTAGAATTTTTATTATTTCTAGAATTTTTTAATTTCTTTTACAGACATGAATACTGTTGAAACCTTATCTTCATTTTAGACACGATACAGAATAATAAAAAAAACATCCCATCTCCATATTTTCTTATAAAGTAATATCATCCTGAAGCATGTTTTTTACCATATATCACAAACATGTGTAATATATTGAATATCTATTACTGTATACCAACAATTCTAGACTTTACGACCATATGCAATAAAAAGTAGTCTCACTAAAAACCATAATGATAAAAATAAAATTGACACGGTCTAGAACAACGCCATGGTTTCCAGCAACCTGTCATGGGGTTTAATGTCCTACAGTGGGCTAATGTGGGAAATTTTGCCCAGTGCAGCGGCACTATGGACTACTCTTATATCGAATTCCAACTGCCAAGGGTTCTTTTATGCGCATGCCAATGTGTACCTGGAATCTCGGTTTTCGCCCCATCTGAACGACTAAAGAGAATTTCAAAGAAGAGAACACAAGTGGTGTTAAGACCCTGTATGGTCCTATTTAATACACCAGTGAAACCAACTGTAAGCTAGTACGTATACCATGGGGTATAAGTTAAAAATCAGCGAATCCCACATAAGCAATGGCCATCTTAATCAGAATCTCCTATATATACGAGCGTATCCATGACAATGTTAACTGACTACTTGAATTTAGACAATTTCGGTTTTTAATTATTACATAAAAAAAACCCAAAAAAACTTACATAATTTCTGCGTTGTTCTAACTGATGTTGTTGTTCTACCTGAAGTAGATGTTGTTGATTGTGTCGTTGTGGGATAACGAGTTGAACTGGGTTTATTGTCATTATCAATTGGCTTCGGTGTAACTACAAAACATAAAAAGACGGAATAAATGAAATGAAATGAAATGGGGGTTTAATGTCCCACTATTCTGCTCCGACTGGACTAATGAAGACGGGTATATGCCAAATAGTGTGCTATGTGGGAAATTTTGCCTGGACAGTGACGTTACGGTCTACTCTTATATGAAATTCCAACTGCCAAGGGTTCTTTTATTCGCATGCCAATGTGTACACGTGACCTCGTTTTTTTGTCCCATCCAAATGACTAGACAGCTTTCCTTGTCAGGCCCTCAATCCTGCACCACTGACAATGGGGAACCACACTGGGAAATCCCGATGAATTTTCTCGTCCAACACCAGGACTGAACACAGTACCTCCAGGTTCCCAAGCCAACATCTTACTCACTGAGCCTCTGCGGTTCCTCAATCAGAAAGAGCAATCACAACATTGGTGAAATGACTTAATAGGAGCAGTTGATGCGATAAAATTGTCGTGTTTATCTTAACGTGTTCAGTTACAAATTGGCTATAATTTCTAAATTTACTGGATACAATAATATAAATTGCATGCTATTAAAATAACACATCTGATTGGTTACTTTATCTATGTCAGAAATAAAGGGGCGGGGCTATAATATACTGCATGCTGTTAAAACAACACATCAGATTGGTTACTTTATCAACATCAGAAATAAAGAGGCGTGGCTAAGAAACAGAAATGAAATGAAATGGGCAACTCATGAAGACGGGTGGGGGGCTAAGAATCAAACATGCATGCTAATTAAACTAGCGTAAAATGATCTGTACTACTATCTACATCCATGCTAAACTACTGTAAAAAGATCAAGACTACTGTCTACGTATTGTGCTACATCTAGCCTACTCTAATGATGTCATACCTGTATTACCCGACCCTGGATTCTGATTGGATGACCCCTGATTTGACCCTGTATTCTGGTTATTAGTACCTTGATTGGAATCCCCACAGCAGACGTTGACCATCATCTTCATGTTTTTCGATTGACACACTCCTTTGTACTGATTGTTCATTTCACTCCGTCCACCATTAGATGTAGCTACAAAATAAAACACAAAAATATCAAATATAGTTCATTATTAGTTTGTTGATATAGATACAAAATCAAAATAATTAGCCATGTGAATTTCTCATAAGAGAAATGGTTTTAAGCATTAGATATAAAATACAAAAATATCAAATAAAGTTCATTAGTTTTTTTCCAACGCCTCTTGGATTTTCACCAGGTCCTTAGGTTTTCTCCCACAGGAAAAGACCCCAACGCGAAATTTAGTCATTTCGGGACTAATATATGATTTTTAATTTTATTTACATAATTCACTTGCGCGCAGGGGTCTTTAGCAGTGGGAGAAAACCGGAGGACCCAGAGAAAACCCACGAGGTTGGACAGGCGACCCTACTCCTTGTCACGTACAACCGGGGATTCGACACCACGCCAGTCGACTCAATGACAGACTTTATGATACAGCGGGTGCACGCTAACCATCCGGCCATCCACCCCCCAGTTTGAAGATGAGATATAGATTGTTTATTGTCGTAGCAACCTTACTGGCTAATCAAGACTCAACCTCGCTTCTCCATTTTTAAATTAAATCATTAAATGATGATTGTATTTTAATCCTTTTACATCTGCGCGATCCGATGGTCTAGAGAGGCTTGTCATGTGAAAGAAATGTCTAATTAATAATTTATATAACATTTGAAGCCAAAAATAAAGTCCTGCGATGGGCAGATTTAGCTCTTACATAATGCATCTTTAATATTTTAAAACAATTTTTTAAATTAAATGTTAAATAATCAATTTGGGTGCATTTTAAGTGGATTAAGATGGGGCTTTAAATATTTAAATTAAAATGGATTTTTGTTTTCATATACAAATACAACGACTAAATGTTCCCCATTAATTTTATTTTATTAAGTGAGTTGTATGGTCGTTGTCCTTTTACTATTTTATAAATAAAGGGCCACAAGAGATTCCATCAATCGTGAGTGAAATAGTGACGAATTACGCTATTAAAGATAAAATCATGGACAAACGTTACTTTCTATTTACGTCTTATCTTTAAATGATATGATAATTAATAAACATTGCTTTGTTCATCATGGCGTGAACGACTATTGTCTTCAAAACAAATAGTGGTTTTAGTCATTCGTGTTTGCACGACTTTTAAAACATTGTTTTTACGTTATGTACATAAACAAAGAATAGATGGTTACCATGACAACATAAGCACACAATTATCTAACAACTGAAGTGTTTTAACTTGATCAAACCACCAGTCTAGTAACGAAATATATATAGTCTTTTTTAACCAGCGCTTATCAATCAATTTAATAGTGTATTAACAAGTCTGGTCGAAAGAGAATAATAACAAAAAAATCCAATATCGTCTAATATAGTCTTGTTTATCATGCATCACTGCCTCCAATTAATCATTTGATTTCGACGTTTTTCAGACAACGATAAATAATTCTGATTATTCCGTCTTTTTAAAAGTGACTTTTGAATGTCGTCATCCATTAAATGTGTCAATATTCATAATGAAATCGCGATCACGTAATAGGAAGTTACCAATTAGCATGTTATTATAGCTTCATATACCATCGAAGCCATTAATTACAACTGCACTTCAACCAACTTCAAGTTTATTTTATCACAGATCTGGCATAATTGAAGCAATATTGTTGTATCTTGAGCACATGTATGTGTAGTGCATAAGGCAGAGTGTGCTGACACTTTCTAGAAAATAAAGGTTCAACATCCTACTTTTTGTACCACACGGGCTAATGAAATGCTCTGCTCCGACTGGGCTAATGAAGACAGCACAGGCTAATGAAGAGGGGAATATGCCATGCATGACGGCAATTTTAATCTTATTCAAACTGCCATGGATTATTTTACGTTCACTGCTTCATGCCAACATGCCCACGAGACATTATTGATCTGACAAAGCCAATTGATCAATCTTACGTTTTACTTTCCATTTTTTCAAGACAAAATCTTTATTATCAGTGTATAAAATACTTACTTATAAAATAGTAACTTTTTCCGCTGGCGAAATCTGGGTTTCCCGGTATAGGTTGAAAACCCATGATAAGTAGTGTATAGAGAAAGGGGGGATCGTTGATTGGATTCGAACAGTTTAATAAATACTTGACTTTAGATCTTTCGTTTATTACACATTCTTCATACTCTTTTTTATTAACCTAAAAAACAAAAAACAATTAATTTGTGGTCTGTACCCTTAGTCATAATGTACATGTGGGTTACTTCCCTTGACTGGAAGTCTTTGGTAAGCCTTCATTGTAGGAGGTCACCTGTAGGTGAGGTGTGCCATCTTGATTGTTTCATCCATGAACAATCTTGAAACAGTTTTGATTTTATGTAGGCCTAATATACAAATCCCTACACCACAACAGTATAAAAACAGTTTGAAATGTGATGACTGATCAGGGGTTTTTTTTTTGTCCCATCCAAGTGACAAAGTGTGAACCATGTTAATGGTTTTTTACTGTTCGTAAGAGATTTGTCATTTGAAAGTGATCTGAGTCACCATTATAACAATGGACACATGTAGATCGTAATCATAACCGTGACAATATGAAAGTTCGAGATTATTTTAGTAGATAAGACATCGTGGATTAAATTATAAAACACGAAGATTAATCATACATACATCAAATATGATATTATCTTTCTGAATCAATCTATTTAATGGCCAGACAAACAAGATGATATTAATGGAACCTTGAGGCAATTCAATCATCACAAGAATTAAATATTCTATATAAGTTTTATCAGATTGCTTAGACGAAGCGAAACTCCCAGCAGGTTTGGGTGGAAGCCATTATGAAATCATGAATTCACAATTTTGTCAGAATTTGTAATTATAAAGATAAAGTAGAGTTGTGCTGCCTTGGCCAAAGATGTAGTCAGACAGTGCTTGCTGCCTTGGTGGAAGCCATTATAAAATCATAGATTTACAATTTAGTCAGAATTTTGATTAGGGAGTCATGTAATTATAAAGATATAGTAGAGTTGTGCTGCCTTGGCCAAATATGTAGTCAGATAGTGCTGCCTTGGTGAAAGACAAGCCTGGAAATAAGGCACCTGTCACAGACAATGTCAGGCACAGATTCATGCTTTGTCAGGCACAAAACCTCTGGTGCCTGTCATTTTGTCCGGCACTGATTTGTCTTTTTTATTGATATTATTAATACATGTCTGGCCCTAAGTTGAAAATGTCAGGTACTATTTCATACATTTTGTCAGGTACATCTAAAACCGTTATTTCCAGCCGTGGTGAAAGATAAATTAATAAGTTTACACTTACCATATATACAACGTAGTACTCCCAGGTATCGGGTCTGGAACCCACAGGATATTGGGGACATATTATATCTATAGTATCACCAAAATTAACATTCATTATATGGTCTGAATTGTTGCTGTCAAAACTGAAACGAAATAAAACACAACATTGTTAAACAATGAGATATAAAAATTGGGTTTGATGTCCACTCGACACAAACTAGGTCATTTCAGGACTAACATATGGTTCAATTTTATTTCAGTGAGAGGAAACCCTAATGTATCTTTAATTTGAAAGAGATTTTCAGCATATTCCCTTTACATTATCTAGTTTTTAACTATTACAGTTGGATCTGCCAGCTCTTTATCTAATCTCCCATAACATATCTTTAAGATAATAAAAAAAAACCAAAGCTTTACATAATAAATCAGAGGTTGACAATTGACATTCCTGTCGAACCGTTGAACTTCCTGATGAAAAACTCTCAATTTATGTGACTTTAGTTCCCTAAATTCAGCCGAGCTTCGAGTTATTTGAAGCGATTATAAACAAGACAGTTTGACGTGTAAATCAAAAACGTTAACACCGCAAACAATCAAAATAAACACGAGCCTCGCTCGAAACTTTATGCTTCCCCAACTTAACAAACGAAACAACAAAACAAATTTTGATGCTCGCAAAAGAAAAATCATATATTTTTTTCACTTCCTATATGCAGGTTTTTTTTTGTTTTTTTACAAGAAACCACATCAAGAAAACAAAGAAATAACAGATTCTAGACATGAATGACAACGAGGCAAATCGAATGCCGAACCATATGACATCGTAATACAATAAATAGCACGATTTTTTTATTTGTATTAGATCTGAGAAATGTCACAATTTCATGGACAATTTACCAACTAAATAAAATAAATCAGCAACAGAAGAAAGCGAATCAATTGTTTTATTTACTCCATTTTTAGAAAAAATCTTTGTTTTATTGGCATGAGTATTTTGTACCAGGAACTACCAAAGTTCAAGGTCTTGATAATCTAGTCTATAGTCTATTTTTATCGGCATGAGTACCATAGTTCAAGGTCTTGATAGTCTAGTCTATAGTTTAGTTTTATTAGCATGAGTATTTTGTACCAGCAACTACCAAAGTTCAAGGTCTTGATAGCCAAGTCTATAGTCTAAGTTTTATTGGCATAAGTATTTTGATGATAACTTTAAAAACAATTGTCATTTAAATTGTGTTCTAATGTAGCCATTTTGTACTTGGAACTAGCAAAGTTCAAGGACTTGATAGTCTAGTCTATAGTCTAGGTTCTTAATCTAAAAGATAATTTTTACAACTATTAGCAAATTAACAAGCTCCTGCCAAGCTGTTAATTAAAATAAACATCTTACACAAGATAAGATAAGGCAGCCTTCACACTTTCAAAAACTTTTTTTGTTCCTTCTACATCAACCTCTTATCTGTGATTCTGATAGAAAATGACTGCAGTACACCAACTTGACCAGACATTAAAAACAAAATTTATCTTGCGGAGAAAATGAATAACACTCCTCTTCATCTTAAACAATTTTTTTTATCTTTCTAGATAAAATTGTATCGGCTTCTTTGTTTTATCAACAACCACGTTGTACACTAATTAACATTAAGAGCCCTGTACATCTCAGAACAATGGCTTCCAAGTTTAGAATATCCTTAAATTGTCACTAATTGTTGTTAGACAATCAGAATTTACGGTTCTCGTTGATTGCTGATTACATCAGACGATTTCAAAGCGTAAAAAATTGATTTTGAACTACTGTAGTGTTTCGATCAATAAGCCGGCGTACATCTACAAGTACATCTTTTCTAAAAAAAAATCTACTTTGTGAAATAATTTAACAAACTACTACTTGTTTCGTTCTTATTGTACTCGCCACTCACAATAACAAAACGAAATGAAATGGAGTTTGACATCCTACTGTTCTGTTCCTACACTGGGCTAATGTGGGAAATTTTGCCCAGTGCAGCGGCACTATGGCCTACTCTTATATCAAATTCCAACTGCAAAGGGATCTTTACATGCACTCTGATGTATACATGGGACATTGGTTTTTAGTCCCATCCGAACAACTAGACAGCTGTCCTTGTCTGGCCCTCCGTCCTGCATCACTGACAAGGGGAAGCCATGTCACTCACAATAACAACTCAATAGAATCCATCTGTCAGATATTTAATAACTATTTCCCACAGAGAATTCTACGAAATCAAATAGTAAAGTGGGGTGCATGACATCGTTTTACTGAGTAACTTTAGTTTTAACTCTGTACGTGCATTTTCTGATACAAGTCGTCAATGGTTACTAAGCTTAACACTGTCTTGAGGCATGTTGTATTTTTTATTGGCAACAATCAGAAGACTTTCAAGACTAAAATCATCATGTATTTTATATTGAATGTGTTGATTGTCTCTCGTTGTCGTTATGAAGATTAAATATGTGGCTAAACAATGTTGACATTTATTGTCATCATCAATTTAACAAAGCCTTAGTTCTTCGTCTTTATATAACTCAGTATTTTTTTATTAAAGAGCTAAATGTACTTCTGGCAGGTCTTTACTTGGTTTCAGATGTTAAATAAACTATTATTTAGACATTGATTAACATGACAAGCCTATAATCAACTCTCTAGATCATCGGATGGCAGAGATTTAAATAGATTGCGAGATTTGTCCAGTATGGTTGCTACGGTAATAAACAAACTACGCTACATCTTTCAATACTCATAACTTTGCTCAGAATAAAGTAATTTGAATGAAACTTTCAATATATTCATTTTGCATTATTTATTATTAAACTAATATAGCAAGATGAGCCAGCTCTTTATCTAAATTTTGGGGGGTTGGATGGCTGAATGGTTAGCGTGCGCGCGCTGTATCATAAAGTCTGTCATTGAGTCGACTGGCGTGGTTTCGATTCCCTGGTTGTACGTGACAAGGAGTAGGGTCGCCTGTTCAACCTCGTGGGTTTTCTCCAGGTCCTCCGGTTTCCTCCCACAGCTAAAGACCCCTACGCGCAAGCAAATTATTGAAATAAAATTAAACCATATGTTAGTCCCGAAATGACCTAGTTTGTGTCGAGTGGAGTTAAACCCCATATCTCTCTCTCTCTCTCTCTTCTAAATTTTACATAATGTATCTTTAATAAGTGTTTTTTTTGTTTATTTCTAGTCTCTGAAAAACCTGTGCACTGAATGCGTTAGCAGACAATAGCATTCAAGTTTTGTCACAAAAATAAATTGAAAGTAGCTTGTTGATGGTCTAACAGATGCTTCAAGTGTTTCTCAGGATAAAACTGATTCTATTTTAAATCTATAAAAGTGTTTGGGGATTTTTTTTATGAATGAAGCACATCTCACAAACATTTTTTTTATTAAAGTTTTTAATTCAACTTCTGCTTCGAGAAATATTTCACTGAATTAATACAAGGGGACAATGTAAAATATGGAATCTATTATTTCCAATGAATTATTTCAACAAATCTTTCTATTAGTCCTCAAATTCTTTACGATACTTATTGTCTCCCCTTTGTCGCATTGTATGTGTGCATTCTATATTTGTTATTCCCTATAGGCATAGATAGACAACCAACGTTATTACAGACCCATCAGAATAGCTGATTGTTGCTAATCAAACTCTCAGCGTAAGCTGGATAAAAGAAGTTTCTCGCCTAAAGCAACATTATTCTTCATAATACACGCAGAGGACAGCTGTTTAATAATACAGAATTATAATAAAACTTTATCCTGCTTGGGTAAATTTAAATTCAAAGCAATTTGTTATTGTTTTTGTGGTTAAATTTATAAATTAAATATTAGTCATCTAAATAAGTTGCCGTCATAATCATTGAAATAACCATACTAAATTTGACTAAGTATAAATTCAAAGCAATTCTTTTTTTCTTTTTTAATTAACGAAGTTACTATAATTGTAATTATTACAATACAAGGCCATTGAACGTTCAGATTGTTATACTAAAAGCTTTTCATAAAAAATACTTTTAAAACAAAATGGACATTTTTTTCTGAATATTGTAATTGTTTTATGGGCCTATGTCCAAAGGAAATTTAGTTCTAAAATTATGTAAGCCGAGTGTGTGAGTTCTAATGTTTACTGATTTATTCAAACAATAAATGGCAAGTGTAATCCAAGAAGCCATCTTTATATGGAAAAATATGTAACTTTATCGTTAGGTACAGTCATTTCAAACAAATTTATTAGCTCATAAATATGATGTATTAATTATTCATACTTTATCTGCATCAACATCATTTTGATGCCCAAATCTAAAAGCTAACGGGCAAGCAATAATCATATTGATATCATCACGTTGCTATGGAAACTAAAACATTGAAGGAAGTATTCTTGCTGCGGTATTAGTTAATCATGAGATTTTGTAGATTATTGCATATGTCGCTCGTTGCAGATCCAAAGCCGATATTGTTCGAACAGACGGCTGTGGCTACTTTAATCTCCACAGAATTATACGCGGAATCCTAGCAAATCTGTGGCAATATCGCACGTTATTGTTAGCGGGACGAAAAAAAATGATAATAAAGCATGAATGAAAATGTAGGATTTTGGTTAAATGAATAGAAGGGATATAAAAGGTCGTCTCAACGAGGAGGTTGACAGTCGAGCATATCCCTAGCCATTAGGCTTTTAGTAGATGAACGAATGGCAACGGAATAGCCAGAAGGTAGGAAGTACGAGTTCTATTCTAACAACCAAATTTATCACTCAATCCAACACTTACTATTGATTTTTGGCTTGTCGTTGGATTAGGTGAGAATTACTCGCCCCTGAAGCCTTTCAATATCGCTGACATACGAAATGAAAGACTTATTAATTCTGCGGAGATGTAACATTTTCTGGCCACGAACCTGACTTTTCCGCAATTTGTTGTGATTTAGTTTGACACTCAGTGAAGAAAAGATGAGGCCTTTAATGTAAGCTTGATCAGAAACCTTGGCACGTTAATGGACGAATCCAAACCTGCGTATTAAAGTTCAAGCACTCCAGATTGCTGTGACACTTGTCTTAAAATGGCCAACACAATTTACCTCTCGGCAAAATAAAGTTAGCAACCATGTTATTTCATTCCATATTGC